GGGGGGGGGGGGGGTGAGACGTGGGGAAGGGAGGAAGGGGGTCAAATGGGGTTTTGCATTTGTCATTATTAAGAACTAACTGTAAACAAGCTAACCTGAAAACTTTCAGGCTCATCCTCTACCTCTAAACTCTCTCTTTTCACCTCTGCTACCCCCTCCCCCTCCACTTTCCCCGTTTAGCTTGGTCTGAGAGTTTTCCTGGTGTTCTGTTACCAGGTTCTCAAATAGTTGAATATTGACAATATTTACTCCAAAATATTTAAATGACAATTTTTCCTTACCTCAGTTCTTGCCTGCTCATACCATACACATATACACCCCAATGGTTACATAATGAGCTTTGCTTGATTGCATTTAATCCAATTTCATAACTTTTCTTTTGCCAGTGGCTTCACCAAACCCAGCGCCTTTGGAAAAAACCTGTCAACAGAAATATTGCGTGACAAGCAAAAGTGACCCAACGAGACTGTCTGAAGCTAAGGTCGCAGTGTTTCAGACCAGATTTTCCAAAAATGACAAAAGGCCTCTTGATTTCTACGTTTCTGATTTGGGGAAGCTTACAGCAGAAGGAAAGAAAATAATCTTGTTTCGCGCGCGATGGCTTCACATTAGCTGTCACTTGATGGCGTTACAAACCGCTAATTTGAAACTGATGGTCACCATAGTAACGATATGTACATTGTGAGCAAAAGGAAATGATTGTTGCATTTCTAATGCAGTATTCCAACCAAACGTAGTTTACCTTTTGTCTAAGATTTTTGTTTACAATGGACTGGCAAAGCGAAGGATTCGTATTGTTAGCGAAGGAACTGAGTGCAAACGACGTGTACAACTCAGATCAACATTTGGAAATCGGTATGGAAATGAACGACAGCGACAACTCAGAGACACACGAAAGAGGTAATTTGGGTTTTGACCACTTGCCTCCGATTAATCAAATAACGCCGCCTGTAAAACCCGAAATCTCGATTGTCTGCATGAAATGCGAAGAAGAAATTAAGGTTCGACACTTGAAAGAACACCAAGAATTCCACAACGCGTTGGAAATGTTCCGATTTACCATGGACAGGAAGCCTTCTAGCGTGAAACAATTAATCAGGCGACGTCGGGCGATTTTGAGACGACTCAACGAAACGGCGAGCTCCGAAAATCCAGTTTCGATGAAGAAACTTCAAAAACTGAACCTCGCCTACGAGGCAATCAAGGCTGATATTGAAGGCACAAACACCACTCTTCGAAATGTGGACGAATTTTTCCTCGATCAGCGGAATATACAAGGACGGGGAACAACTCTCACCTGTGCGCTTGCGTTCGGCGTTTGTCAACATGCGAATTCAAGATGGAAGACATCGATGGAAGATAGGTACGCGTTTAAGGATTTCTTCTGTAATGATCCACAGAGTGGATTCTTTGCTATTTATGACGGATATTCTGGAAGTATGGCAGCAGAGAAATGCGCGCGCTACCTGAGCGAACTTCTCGAGAACAAGGTCGAAAGTATCTACCAAACGAGTATGAAACATGAAGATGTCAATGAGGAAATTGTAGTGGCTTTTAACCAAGCGTTCGAAGAGATGGACAGAATACTGCTCTACGGCGTGGAGGAACAATCGAGAAACCGTTGGAGCGGGTGTTCTGCTCTGACTTGTCTGTTACGAGGAAATAATTTGTATGTGGCCAACGCGGGAAATATTCGAGCGGTGTTATGCCGCGGTGACGGTTCGATCGAACGTTTGTCGGACAATCACAGCCCCTGGGATAAGAAAGAGCGGCATCGAATACGAAAGGCTAAAGGGGACGTTTCTAAAAGCGACAAAACTGCCCTGGTTAATGGCGTGGTGAAGAGCACCCGGGGTCTAGGGAATCACGGCGACCCGAATCTGAAGACTAGCGTGATAAGAACACCCTTTGTTAATTGTCTCACCCTCGAGGACGCTGATCAATTCCTCATCCTCGCGTCGAATGGCGTATGGGAAGTTTTCAGCGAAGAAGAAGTCATTCTTCTCCTGGAAGACATTATACCCGATATCGACGTGAGAGCTATTGTGAGGCGAATGCAAGACAGGGCTTCAGCTCTGGAGGTAGGGCTGCCTGTCCCAAAATGGGATGAAATTCCCAGACGGAGCAAGGGCGTGGCTTCTCCGGAAGGGAACAAGTCTGCTGAAGCGGTGAGCTCCACTGAACAAATGTCACAAGGGGACATTGTAAACAAGGATACATATAGTGACAATGAGGAAGATAATTCTAGTGAGAGTCCCACAGAAATGGATGAAGATAAACCCATCACGAAATCGCCAGTTTTACTACAACCCCCTGCCCCCTCATTAAGGTCGCAAGGGTCAACGCTCCAAAGGAATGAAAAGGCTTGTGCGCTAGCAAAGGCCCTAAGTGAAAGGCTAGTGGAAGGTGCCATCCTTGCAGGAAGCCGTGACAATATTACAGTTGCAGTTGTTCTTTTGAATGGCTGTCCACTTCAGCTGTTTTTTCTACCAAAAATATAATGCCTGTTGAAGTCTAAAATTCTCACCAGTGAGTCCATTCATTTCTTTTGTATCCACGTTCTGAGAATTTGGTGGTTAATCAAAACAATGACCCAATGTTGATGATTACTTTGTTCTCATTACGTGTTTGTTTCATAGTGTCTGGATGGTGTGTGGAGAGTTTGAATGCTTATCTCACTGAGGTGCTAATCAAAGCTGACCTTGTTTGAGAATCCAACAGAACAGGGACAAATTGCACCAAAACTTCTTGGAAATGAATTTTTGTGTTTCTGACCCAAATAAGCTCTAGAATTTCGTTCTTTTAGGTGCAAACATTTTTGCTTGGTTTCAATCCAGGTCATTTTGTCTGCTCATCAGCTTTGATTCAAGAAATTAATCTTGTACTATTGATGTTAAATTCTTTTGAAAAATCCTCAAGTTAAGATACTAACCAGGTCATTCATTTAAATCAATTCTCACTCTACTTTGCAGTAACTTTAATTGTTCTTTCTTTCTGTGCTAATAATATGATAATAATTATAATTAATTATGCAAAAGTTCCTGTAACTATTACAGGAACTGCTGTGATGTAAACTGACACCCTTGACTGATTGCCAATTATTTATCTGCTAGATAAATGCAGTTTAAAATGAAATTGATGGTCAAAGATATCAATCATGCATTCACTGTCACACAAGTACCATGATGAGACTGCCATTTGCTGAATTTAGGAAATAAAGTTTAGGAACGTGGAATATTTGAATTATTATTTTGTTATAATTTTTAAGCAGTACTTATACCTAATCGAACCTTTTTGGTATGTTTGGTTGTGCCATAATTTGTATTTTGGTAAGATGTAGTCAAGAAAAATACCCATGCCTCAACCAAACAAGCCTGATGTTCTGCTGAAGCATACCAAAAAGGTATGATTAGGTATTTACCATACCCAAATTCAGCCAAGTGACCATGATATCATAGCCATATCAGGTCAGTGACTTGATATCGCAGGATATCAGGGCTGTAGTCACGGCTTCTGATCGGCTAATTGCAAACTCGGGTATGGTAGTATTGTTAAGCTGGCCTCTCAACCAGATGCTCTTTGTGCTTGTCGTGCAATCTTGGTAAGAAAAGATTTCATGAGCAGTGGTGGATCTAGGCCCTCCCCTCCTATTTTGGGTAAAAAAGAAAAAAATCACAGAAGGAAGAAAAGCCAGCAGGGCAAGCAAAACAACCCCCACCCCACCCCTTAGCTGAAGGTCTGGATCCAATACTGATGACAAGCCTAAAGTAAATCAGCTTAAGAGGCCAGCATTTAATTAGTGGATCCTGGGTTGGATTTAGAGGGAGCAGATCGGGTGGCTAACCCCTCCCCCCTCCCCGTGAGCAAAAAGAGGCCGTAAGAAACAAAGATGTGTGTTTCTGCTCAGCTAGTCAGCCGACACCTGTTTTGCTGCGGGATTGCACGCGCGAGTGCTTTTGAGACTGAAAAAGGTACCTCTTTCCGGCAGAGCCTCCCCTTGTAGGCCATAAAATGAGCACTGCCCGGGGTTTTTGATCGTGGATTTATATTTAGACAGCTTTCAAAAGTTTGATAGCATCAGTGATCAAGTCATTCAGCATTCAAAGGGTGTTCATTTCCAAATCACTGACCGTCTGACGACCCCATCCTAATAAACAAACATTGGAAAAAAGGATACGTCACTGAAGCATCAATTTTTCAAAAGCTTGAGTTCAGAAAACGACTCTTAACTTTTGAAAAGTCGTCAAAATTTTTGGACGACTAGGCACATGTAAATGATTGCCTTCAACCTAGTATTATGAATGAAAGTCTTTCGTTTCGACTTTGGTTAATTAGCTAGACTGAAACTTCAACAGAAGATAAAGGTTTCAAATGGCGCGCTTTGTTCCTCCTTTCCGGGTCTTTAAAATTATTGAATAAATGATGAATAAGTCCAACACCATCACAATATTATAAAATGATGTTAAGACAAATTGTTTGCTTGATGTAGACAAAGCTAGAAATCATCTGTTTATATAAAAGTCGAATTTTTATTCTCCATTAATGAAAATGTCAGAGGATTAGCTAGAGGAACTACACTCAAAACGAAGGGAATAACCTGATCTAAAATGACCAACTTTGCCTTATTTTATTTTATGTTATTTTATTTTATTTTAGCGTAAATTTGTTTTGATTTACGTGAGAAAAGAGAGCGTTTTTGTTACGTGAAAAACATTAGGTAAATTGAAATGACTAGGGATGTCAGTTTCTAAGCGATTAATGTCTAAGCAAACAAATTAAGAAAAATCAAATGGTGTGCTCTTAAATCTCATTAATCCCGCCACTAAGGGCCAGCCTCTGTTTCTTCCTCTTCAAGGTGTATTTTATTTTGCTTTTATTATTGTATCTTGAATAAAACATTATGTTATGTTATGTACCTAGCCGCCCTAAAAGAATCGATGACTCTTGAAAGTGAATTGACTTTCTCTGAAATCAGCTGTTCAAAACTTGATATCTGTTCCAATGTTTGTTTATTCGGCTGGGGTTACTAGTCAGTCTTGATCCAGAAACAAACACCTTTTTGAATGTTGACTAATGACTTACTGCATGTTCTATCACAAACTTTCCAAGCTGTCTAAATATGAGTCCACAGACTCCTTTTACGCTCATTCAGCTATCCGCACACACACGTTAGTTTCCCACAGTTATCGATATACTGCTCTCACGCTATTTGGTTGCGCCATTTGGTGTTCCTCTTCGATCCACCAAGTTCGTTTGAGTCAAAATCCCTGTTTTGAGAGAACATGAAGTTCCTTTTCGTCCTGGCTGTCTTTTTCTACTTCTTGGACAATCCAAGCGACGCCCATGCATCGGTGAGTAAGATATTTGTTTTGATATAGGACCGTTGAAATGTTTTGTGGGTGAGCTTTTGTGAATTGCTAACTTCTTCAAAACCTTTCGACCCTCTCTTTTCTCAGCCGTTCTTGCTATAAATGTTTCTGCCTAAAAGCTCTTGCTAGTAATCTCGGGTAGTTCGTAGCGATCATGAATTCAGTATTTTTAAATTAAAGATAACTCAAATTATTGGGCTGTAGCAAAATTTTCTCAAGGCGAGGCAGTTTCAAGGGCGACAAAATAATTCACATTCTCACCACGATGCTAAATTTGAGGTCAGTCCCAAACGCATCTTAGAAAAACAAATTGCGAGTAGTTCTGGACATAGCTCGTTCTAAGAAACCATAAAATGTGGTATAGAATACGCCTACAATCGTGGGCAAAGGCCTTGGGGACAAATTTGCACTTTTAGCGCTGTTGCATACACGCCAGACGCGAATATATCAGTTTTCACCAGCCTAGGTTCTCCCCCTCCCTTCTCCCCCTCCCCACACTCCACATGCAAAGTTAAAAACGTGCAATTTCTCCCGAGTTTCCCTAAACGTTGTACTGTGTGGTGAGGGGGAAACAGCAACGCGTTTTTAAAAGGATAGCAGTGCTTTTCAAACCGAAGTTGTTAAAAAAAAAAGTGATTCGTTACATTAAATCAGCGTCTCAAGGACTTTTTGTGGGAGGCACGGTGGCCTCATGGTTAGTGCGCTGGTCTCCGGATCGAGCTGTCCGGGTTCGAGCCCTGGCCGGAGACACTGTGTTGTGTGTGTCTCTCTCCACCCAGGGGTATAAATGGG